TGACCCTGTGTTGTGAATTCCATAGGGATCTCCCTGGGCTTACAAGGACCCCAGGCTTATTCCTGTCTTATTCTCAAAGTGTCTCTGTGCCCACGTTAGCAGGCCTCAAATTGGTGTCACTTCCTGTTCCCCAAATCTGATACCCTTTGGAAAACTAGTTGGGAAAGCCTTCAGACTTGAACCGTGATTTTCTCTCTTATCTCTTGTTAGGGGTTTAAAACAAGGGAATGTCCCTCAAATTCACCTTTCCTCCTTTGTAAAGTATAAGTGATATCTATCTCTGCTAGTTGTAAGGTGCTGTGAGGATTGATTGCGATTAATGCCTATGGAAGTGGTTATTAATAAAGTTTATCCCAGCCATTTAGCTTTGAAAACTGTGGTCATTCATTCATGTAACAAATATTTATTGAGCACATACCACATAACAGGTATGGTTATAGGCCAGGGGTGAATTCAGTGGACAAAATGGGCAAAAATTCCTGCCCTCATGGAACTTGCATTCTAGTGGCCAGAGACAATCAATAAACAAGTAAAACACATAGTACGTCAGAAGATAATGGGTGCCACAATTTTAAAGAGGGTGATCAAAGGAGGCCTCACTGAGAAGTTAATGGTTAAGCCATAAGCTTAAGGAGCTGAGGAATCAAGACATGGAGCTATCTGAGGGCAGAATGTTCTAGATCAAAGTGAACCACTGTTGCCAAGACCCTCAGGTGGAAACATGCCTGGTGTGGGAGGGAGTGAGGGGGAGAATAGTGAGGAGATGGGGAGCTTGTTCATGTTGGGCCTTAGAGGTCACTCCAAGGGCTTTGGTGTTTGCTCTAGGTGATAAGGGAGCCAGTGGAGGGTCTTGGACAGGGACGTGACATGAAATAACTTACATTTTATTTTTTTTAAAATTATTTATTTATGTATTTATTTTTGCCTGCATTGGGTCTTCGTTACTGTGCACAGGCTTTTTCTAGTTGTGGTGAGTGGGGGCTACTCTTCATTGTGGTGCGTGGGCTTCCCATTGCGTTGGCTTCTCTTGTTGTGGAGCATGGGCTCTAGGTGCACAGGCTTGGTAGTTGTGGTGCATGGGCTTAGTTGCTCTGCAGCGTGTGGGATCTTCCTGGACCAGGGATCGAACCCACGTCCCCTGCATTGGCAGGCGGATTCTAAACCATTGCGCCACCAGGGAAGTCCTGAGAGAACTTACGTTTTAAAAGGCATCCTCTGGTTGCTATGTTGAGAGTGGCAAGGGTGGAAACAGGGAGACTGGTTGGGGGCGGCGATTGCAGTAATTCAAAAGAAGATAATAGGTCTTTGGAAAACAGTGGAAGTGGGAGTGGAGAGTGGAGCTGGTGAGCGAAGGTGGCACTCTGGATGTTTTCTGAAGAGGGAGCCTCCAGAATTTGTTGTGAATTTGACTTGGGGCATGAGATGGCATGAAGAGTCGACGACGATTTCAGCTTTTGGCCTGAGCAACTGGAAAAATAGAACCATCCCTTAATAAGATGGGGAAAGACCATGGGAGGAGTAGGTTTAGGGAGGAAAGATTCAGAAATCAGTTGGGAACCTGTTAAGTGTGAGATGTCTATTAAACGCACAGCGGAGGAGACCATTGGATAGATGAGTCTCAGGACTTCAGGGGAGTGGGGGCCAGAGATAGAAATTTGGGAGCCAGCAGCATGTGGATACTTAGACCCATGAGACTAGATGAGGTCATCAGGGGGGTGAATGTGCTACCAACCTGGCTTCTTGGCCTCTTTAATCAGTAGAAGTTGATAAGAGGCAGGACGAGAAATTCAGGCAAGGCTTTACTGGGACTCGTGCTACAGCACGGGGGAGCAAGAAGAATTAACAGGTTCCCTCGCTCGCTCCCCGACTGGCAGGGGGGCTGGTTCCTTAAGCGGGGTGTGAGGGCAGATCAGTGGGTAAGGCCGGAGGGACCCTTAGGGTGGTCTCCCCGTGCCCTTGGTGGTCCTGTGTGCAGGGATCATGCCCAGTACCCTGCTTTTGCTCCCGGCACCTCAGAAGTGACAGATTGTATATCTTACTGTTCATGATTTGCCCCAACTGTGCAAGCACGCAGTTATTTTCAGTCCCTTATAGTTTCTTTGTGTTCTGTTTCTTGAGCAGACGCTTGTCCAGGTGCAAGCACTGCAGCAAAGGTCCCAGGTCCCAGCCTGCCTCAAATGTTAGTTAAGAAAAGAGAGGCATTCTGAGGATTGAGCCCTGGGCTTTTCCAGTATTAAGAGGTTGGGTAGATGAGGATGAATTAGCAAAGAGGATTAAGAAGGAGTGTCAGTAAGGCTGGAAAAGGAGCTTTAAGGCAAGGGAAGAAAGTATTTCAAGGAGGAGGGAATTAGCAACTGGGTCAAATGCTGTTGAAAATTTATGAGGGATAAAGTCTAAAAATTGAACATTAGATGTAGCCACATGAAGATCCTTGGGGTGAAATGATGGGGGAAAGTCTGATCTAAGCAGGTTCAAGAGAGAATGGGGAACAGTGAAAACAGAACTTTTTGAGGAGTTTTGTTGTAAAATGGAGCAGAGAAATAGGATGGTGTCTTGAGGGGCAAGTAGGGTCAGGAGAAAGGTTTTTTATTTTTTAAAAATAATTTTTTTTCTATTTTAGAAATTTAGATATAGTTAACATGCTATACATTACAGCTTTAGAACTTATTTATCTTGTAATTGACATTTGTACCTCTGGGCCCCCTTCACCCATTTTGCCCATCACCCCACCCCCTGCCTATGGCAACCACCAATCTCTTCTCTGTTTCTATGAGTTCGGTGTTTTTTAGATTCCACATATAAGTGAGATCATACAGTGTTTGTCTTTCTCTATCTGAATTTATTTCGCTTAGCATCATGCCCTCAAGGCCCATCTGTGTTGTCACAAATGGCAGGATTTCCTTCTTTTTTATGGCTGAATAATATTCCATTGGGTATATACCACATTTTCTCTCTCCATTCATCTGTTGATGGACACTTAAGTTATTTCTGTCTTGGTTATTGTAAATAATGCTGCAATGAACATGAAATTTTTTTGATTTTTTTTTTTTTTTTTTTTAAGATAGGAGAAAAAAGGAAAATGTTGTTGAGAATGATTCAGCAGAGGGAAAATTTTTTGTTTTTTTTTTTTTTTTTTTTTAAGATAGGAGAAAAAAGGAAAATGTTGTTGAGAATGATTCAGCAGAGGGAAAAACTGATGATTTGGAGGGGAGAGGAGAATTGCTGGAGTGATGCCCTGGCAGTGTAGATGGGCACAGGTGCTGGGGGCTGGGTGGGTCTGATGGTAGGGGATTGTAGGAAATCCCTTTGGATTCCTCCCATTTATTCCCATTGAGGTAGGAAGCAAGGTCATTGGCCGTGAAAGATGGGGAAGAGGTAATTCCCACTCCCTTTCTTTTCTTCACCACATAGCCAATTAACCACTCTCCTGTCGCTTCTAACATTGGAATGCTCCCTGTGTCCCTCCCTTGTTTCCACTGCTACCACCTCAGTCAAGTTCAAATCATACAATGTCTGTGTTATAACTTCACAACCTCCCAGCCACCACCCTCTTTCCATTGCAGGCTGCTGTGCATACAGCGGCGGGCTAACTCTTCCTGAAATACTTATCTCTTTCTGCTGGGGTCCTAATCAAAACCATTTCTTGACTGCCCATTAAAGAGGATGAAGGCCACTTACTCAGCGAGGGACTTCAGGCCTCTGGAAACCCTTCTCAGTTCAAAAGGACTGGCCATGTCATCTCATTGTGCCCTGAATCGCCACCCTTAATCCTACTCCCACCCTCTCCTTGCACAAACTAGTTCTGTGACCCAAGGGATGCTGCTAGACTTCTCTACGCCTGATTTTCCTCATCTGTAAAATGAGGATATAATAGTACATCCCTCTTATGGGTGTTGCTAGGATTCAGTGAGACTATCACAGTAATTATTTAGAATAGTTACTGCATAGTATAAACACTTAATCAACTTCAGCTATTCTTATTCTAACTGTCTGAAACCACTTGCCTCTTTCTTCCTGATCTGACCTTCCCTATCCTCTAAGACACAGCTGGCATATCTTCTCTCCCATGAAGTCTTTCTTGCTCATCCTTTCCTGCCTACACTGATCTCTCCTATCTTTTCCTCATTTTCACATGTAACCAGATACTTTCTGTCAAGGTGATTTTCATACTCCAGTGTTAGAATGCCTCTTTGCTTCAGCTAAACGGTAAATTTCTTGAGGGCAGACGTCATGCCTCTTAACCTCTTATAGCCCTGTTCCCTAGCAAGTTGCTGCACTCTCAAGACCTCAGATTTTACAGGGGATATTCGACCTGCTCAACTTGTTGAAGGGGTAAATTTATTTGTTATTCATCTGAAGCCTGTGTTTCTTCTTTCCCCTGTGCCTGCTTCATGGTGTATGCAGCCGGTCTGCAGCCTAATTTATGGAACCGTCACTTCCTCTCCAGGGACCTTGCAGCAGCTCTCTGCCAACATCTGCCCTTCTGGCCACTTTTCAGGACTGCTTTGTAGTTCCATACCTGTTTATGACTTCATCTTCCTTTCCTCTGCATACTCCAGTATTAGAAAGCTGTCTTTTCCTTCTCTCAAGGGAGCAGTTGCCCATCTCCAAGCTTCTTTGTTTCCTCCTTTCGTCTCCTTCCCAAGGCACCTTGGCTTTGAAGAGGCTGCTGAAAAGGAGTAGATTATTTCATCTTTTATGATCAGCAAAAGAAAAAGTAGGAGGCTTTATTAGGAAAATTGGCAAGATCTAAAGTTATTTGCATTTCATACAAACCAAAATTTTCTAAGTTTTTTCTTTTTTTAAAAAAGAGCTGTCAGATATACCAAAAAAATTTTTTTTTTGATCTGAACGTTGAAACAACTGCTGCAGACCTGGGGGCTTTGAATTTAGCAGCTTTCGTTTGGGCCCAAGAAATTCTCTGAATTAGAAAGTCTTTTGCTGCTTGTTGGCTTGCTGCAACATTTCATCCCTCACGTGACTCTTCCCTTTCCTTTCAGAATACAGCAAAGCCAAAGAGCTCCTCTGTGTGCCTGTGGACGTGACAGACACATTGAGATGTTTTAGAGAGACCTTGGAAAAATCCAAATATCACAACAGATCAATCCGACACAGCAGAAAGTTGCTTTCGTTATTTCTTGCCCAGACACAAGGTAAAATACAGTCGTTCCTAGGCATCTGCGGGGAATTGGTTCTAGGATCCCCTGTGGATACCAAAATCCGTGGATGTACACGTCTCTTACAGTCAGCTCCCCTCCCCCGCCCCCCGTATCTATGGTTCTGCATCCCCAGAAATGGAGGGCTGACTGTACTTGCTCTACATCCCTTCCTCTTTATATACCCAGGGTACCACCCCGTGGGTCTACTGTGTTCTGCGGTAGGTTCCTCGTTCCCCCACTTCCATGCCCACTCCCTGCTGCCTTTCACTTTCTTCTTGTCTAGTGGATTACCTCTGTGTTTCTCACACTTTATTCCAACCAAAGCACTGCCTCACTCATCTGCTTCTATGCCTTCTGTGAAATGAGCATAATCCCTAAGTGGAGTAAATATGGAAGCAGTGCTATAGTCTTGTTTTATTTTTATAAGTAGATGAATTGTTTCATACCGAATTAACTACAGTCTTTTACCAAAACACTACTTTATCAATGTCTAAGAAAGGGATGCATTTTAATATACATATCTAGTAAAATTTCTTATTAATACCATAGATTTTGATCTCAGAGATTTCTTTTAGCTTAAAAAAAAGATATTCACTGTTCTTGGTTACATTACACTTGTTTTCTTCCTTCTCAAAATCTGTTGATTTGTAAACTCAGTCAAAGCAGGACTTCAAGTGGTTAAGTGGTAACTTCAGAGCGGAAGAAGATACTCAAATTCAGGCCAAGAAAAATCTCAAATTATCTACATTTAGGTAATTTAAAATTTGTTAAAACCCTAATTTGTGTTTATAATACTTGCTGTTCACATTTATCAGAATAATAAGAATAAAGTTAAAGAATAAATTTAAATTAATAAACTTAAAATAATTGTATTTTAAAGTTATTAATAATAGATTTAAACTTAGCATCTAAGATGCTAATAGTCTCTGAATTGATCTTTTAGAAATTTGACCAATTGTTTTTTACAACCACTGACAAGTTTTATGTATGTATGTATGTATGTATGTTTGTTTGTATCTATGTATCAATATATATTCATTCTTGTTGCTGCCCCTTCTCCCCGCAAAAAGCACTTACTATGACATGTACCCACAGTTTTTGGTTGTATTGTCCACAGACACGCATTACATTAAATTGGCCCTCTACATCATGTTTAAACTTCTTTCAATTATGGTGTACATTAAAAGTGGTTAAGGACATGAATAGAAAAAGCAAATACAATTCCTAAGAATGGTTTACACCACCTCAATCTGAATTTCACCTGGTACTAAGATATTCTCAGCAGTTTATCCCCAGTCCTTGGGCTGTAGACCTAAATCCATTTTAGCTTCTCTGTCTCTGAGGTTTTTGACTACATCCCCTAGAATAGTTTTTCTTTTTCTTTTTTTTCTGTGTGTTCTCTGATCTTATACAGAGACAGGTTCTTTCCCATTTTTTTTCTCCCCTCAGGTCAGAAGTACCTCTGCACTGCTGCTATCCTAGAGGTCTCTGCCCCAGAGGCAAACTAACATCTTACTGTTGGAAACTCTTTTCAAAAAGGCAAACTCAGAACCTGTGCAACTTCTGCCAGTCCCCAGGAGGAGCAAAGCATTATCTCAACATTTACTTTCCAGCAAACTGCCCCTCTGTGCTGTTCCTTATGAGGTAACACAAGTGTAGAGCACATCGCACACCTGGGCTCTTCACAAATGATTCGAGATACGAAGTTTAAGGAAATAGTGTCCTTCGAGCTGCACATGAGTCTCAGCTCTGTACAAAACCCTTCCTTCCTTCTCCTTTTCCACTTCTACTTTTTTCCTCCTCATCAACTTCCCTTCTTTCTCCATTTTTAAGTTTCTTTTAAATTTTTTTCATGAATTTAGGAGACAAAGGAGGAATGAACAATTTAAAATTCACTACCAGAAAGGTGGAGTTTTGCCTTGGGACAGAAGAGATGCACATGCCAACACCTCCTGACCTTTCTCAGGAGCACTTCCAAGTTTTCAGCTCAGTGGAGAAAAGCAAACTTCCCTCCTCACAACTTGGACTCGTAATTTCTTCTTATTATGAAACTATTAGTAAGATTTATTCATTATGTGTTCATTTTCAATCTGATCTGTCACATTAATGTTGAGATTGCATTTGGTCTTGAAATATTATCTTTTTTAAATGATTTTTTAAATTTATTTTTTTATCGAAGTATAGTTGATTTGTAATATTGTGGTAGTTTCGGCTGTACAGCAAAGTGATTCAGTTATATATCTATATCTATATCTATATCTATATCTATATCTATATATATATATATATATACTTTTTTCAGATTCTTTTCCATTGTAGGTTATTACAAGATATTGAATATAGTTCCCTGTGCTAGACCGTAACTGAAATGTTATCTGTAGAAGTAGGATGAAAGAGCTTGAACATAGAATCTATTCATCACACCCTCGTGGACAGTGACAGAGCAGCGTCAAGACAAGCAGCTTCCAGCCCCTCCCATCACCCACTTTCCCCGATTGGCTGTCACCATTGTGAGATTCTAGGCACCGTCCCATCCATCCCACCTTAACTGAATCTGTGAACCATTTGTCGAGATGTGGCCACTGTTATGTGCTTTTGCTCTGCCCCAGCTGATTGCATTTTCCTTGTCTTTCCACTTGATTTAGTTTTTCTACAAATTCAGCAGTATGAATTCAGTCCATGTTGTAGACCCAACGTCCCCCCTTTTTTTATAACAGACATTTTGTAACTCCCCCTTTATTCTTCCTATGCACATTATTTTTAAAAATCAATATGAATCTCTAAATATAAAATGAAGGGTAAATAAAATGAAATAACTTTATAATAAAAGAATCTATTTGTTGGTATGTAAGAGCTTAGGCACTAGAGGTATAGAGAAGCAATCAGATGCTCACATATAGTATGTAAAGTATACAGGATACACATGAATGTGACAGCTACGAATGCAGACTGATACAGGTGTATTGGTAACTCAAGTACCATCAGCATTGCTAATTTTGGTGACATGATGTTCTAAAATGGCAAATCTAGGCCATTCTGGACAAAACAAAATATTACAGTGGTTGCATTTCTGGAAAACTCAGAGCATTTTGAACACACGCAAACATATCCTTTCTATGAAATAAAGTTAGATGTTAGACTCAAATAATTATAAATAGGTTTCTCACCTTTTTCCTCACTGTGGGGGAAGGTTCTGTGCGTGGCAGGCCATCAAGTGTCAGGTCCTTACCTAGGAAATACTAGCAGATGCCCCATTGTGACAACTAACAAAACCCTCCTCAAATTTCTAAAATACCCTCTAGGGGACATTGCTTCCCTCATTAGAAACCGTTGCCATGTTAGTTGGGTTTTGTGGCTACACATCCTGGAATGCATGTATTCATCAGAGAACAACAAATTCAGGTACTATTCAAGATATGCTTTTTTGCATTTGGGTAAAGGAAGAATCCAAACTGCTGTGCTCTTGTCACATCCCTGATCAAAAACAAACTGTTCAACGCTTCCCATATGCTGTAGAATAGTGTCCACATTTCTCCACATGGCACTCAGATGCCTCCCTAATCTTACCACTACCCAATTCTTCACCCTCCCCAGAAAGTGTATTCCGGCCGCACACATTGCCATATATATATACCCAGCCCTTTCTGCCTTGCACTTTTTCTGGATTTTTCTCCTTCACCATCTCAACCTGCCCGACTCTTACTGTACTTTCTCCACGTTTCCCACCTCTTTGACCCCATCTCCCACTCCATGACATTAAAATAGAACATCGTTTGCTCTCTTTCTCTACCCATATTGTGTGACATTTAAAGGCTCTATTAGCTTGAAGTTTGCTTATCTACACAGTTAAGGTATAAGGCAATTTAAAATATTCTTGAAAATATACAGGAAATATTTTCCAGGGACTGACATTTGTTCTTTCACTTGATTAAAAATACAGATGTTCTGCAAACCAGCAAGGAAAGAAGTCTTAATGTTCAGGCATTGCATGAACTTGGAAGTCTTCTTGTCTTCGCACAAAAGAAAAGGTAGTTTTTAGGAGTCAGTAAAACAAGGGAAACTTTGTTCAGCTGAAAAAATGTTTAATTATTGTGAAAAATACTGCCTTTCATAAATTTTAGTCTGTTGATAATATTCCATTGCTGCATTTTATTCATCAAATGCTACCTGAGAGAAATGGTTATGAGCAATAAATGGTATAGATCCATTCTCTGACATTTTAATTAAAATGTCTCTTCAGTGGGCTTCCCTGGTGGCGCAGTGGTTGAGAGTCCGCCTGCCGATGCAGGGGATACGGGTTCGTGCCCCGGTCTGGGAGGATCCCACATGCCGTGGAGCGGCTGGGCCCGTGAGCCATGGCCGCTGGGCCTGCTCGTCCGGAGCCTGTGCTCCACAATGGGAGAGGCCGCGACAGTGAGAGGCCCGCATACCGCAAAAAAAAAAAAAAAAAAAAATGTCTCTTCAGTGCATTTGCTTTCCCTTTTGGAAGATAGATTTAGTAACACGGATCTCAGAAAACATTCTGCTGCATGCTCCATTTCTGTTTTAGGGCTGCTTTTAAATGTTGGAGTCAAGCTCTTGATGACATATTCAGAAAACAAGACGTGCTCCATACATGGAAGGAGTATGGCAGCTCACTCACCAATGCCACTGACAGCTGTTCACCTCCAGGTTCCAAAGACTACAGTGAGGAGTTTCTGTCAAAAGTTGGCATTTGGGGATGTTTGCAAGGGGCGGTGATATCAGCGAAGATAGCACAGTGAGTGTGACAATGGAGTGGTCTGTGTCGTATCTGTTGCCTCCTTTGTGGGCTGCCCACCCGTGCCATGTAGGGTGCCACACCTCACACACACTGGGTTCCCGGGCAGCTATGTCCATATCATACAGGCTTATACGGTTTACTTAATTTGTGCTGTTTCTTGTTTATGGCCATCTCCTCTTCCTGTTAACACCTGCCACACCTGGAGTGTGAGAACCGTGTGGGCATAGGTCTTTGTTCTGTTCACCAGTATATCCCGAGTGCGTGACATGGAGATGGGCTTCAATAACTACTTGTTGAATGAATGAACGAGTGCATGAACAGTTGGAATTTGAGAAAGAATAACAGCGTAGAGGCAGGCTGACTAGGGCCTAACTTTAGGGCCCCCAGCAAGTTACTCATCCTGCCTGAGCCTCAGTTGTCCTCATCTGTAAACTGTGGTGACAGGAATTACATGACACACTGTATTAGTTTGCTAGTACAAACTAGCAACAGAGTACCAATCTGTGAGCCATTTATTGTCTCACACTTCTGGAGGCTTGACATCTGAGATCAAGGTGATTACAGGGCTGGTTTCTTCTGAGTCCTCTCTCCCTGCTTGTAGGTGGCTGTCTTCTCACTCTGTCCTCACATGGTCTTCCCTCTGTGCATGTCTGTGTCCTAATCTCCTCTTCTTATAAGGCCATCAATCATACTGGATTAGGGCCCACCCTGATGACCTCATTTTAACATGATTACCTCTTTAAAGACCTATTTCTAAGTATAGTCACCTTCTGAGGCACTAGGGGTTAGGACTTCAACATATGAATTTCGGGGGTACAGTGGGTCACATAATTTAGCCCATAACACAGACTGTATTAGTTTCCTATTAGTGGTATAACAAATTACCACAAATTTAGTGCCCTAAAACAATAGAAATTTATTGTCTTACAGTTATGGAGGGCAGAAGTCCTAAAATCAATGTGTTGGCAGGGCTGAGCTCCCTCCAGAGGCTCTAGGGGACGATCTGTTCTTGCATGTTCCAGCTTCTAGAGGCCTCCTGCATTCCTCAGCTCATGGCTCCATCTTCTGTCTTCAGGACCAAGAGCCTGTCGTCTTTCTGTCTCTCTCCGAGCTCTGTTTCCGTCCTCACATCTTCTCTGACTCTGACCCTCCTGCCTTTCTCTTATAAGGATCATTGTGATTACATTGAACCCAGTAATTCAGGATAACTTCCCTATCTCAAGGCCCTTAATTTAATCACATCTGCAAAGTTTTTTGGTTTTGGGTTTTTTGTTTGTTTGTTTGTTTTTTGCCACGTGGAGTAACATATGCATAAGTTTGGGGGATTAGGACGTTGATTTCTTTGGGGGGGCCATTATTCAACCTGCCACATGTAACATATGGGAAAACCTATCACAATGCCTTATACCTAGTTAGCACTCACAGATATCTTAAATATTTGATTAATGTGTGAAATTTAGGAAGTATGAAGAGAGTGGAGGTACAGGTTTCCTTTACCTCTCTAGTTACATTTTAGGGCGTGGTAGGCAAAAATCTGCATAGTATTTTGAGCTGTAGAGAAAGTTTTTAAAAATAATAACTTGTCCTAGTTAATAATCACACTGTTTTCAGAAAATTAGCATTTGGACAGGGGAAGTATGGAATTACCACTTTAAAAATATCAAACATTTAAAGATTTTTTAAAAACTCTGTCGTTCGATTTTTTTTTTTTTTTTTTTACCACTCCTGGGATGGAACTCTTCCTTACACACACACACACACACACACACACACACACACACACGATCCCCACGCAAGTTTGAGTTTTAAGTTAGTAGAGCTTGGCAGCAGAGAATAGAAAAGCTGAGGAAGGTTCCCAGCTTGAAAAGAACAGCTACAGCATTCCTG